TGTATCCATGTGTTGATTAAAAACGTTATTACTTATTACCGTTTTATTGTCCTATGTTTGTTTAATAATAATTATAGGAACATAATATTAGTTATCACATGACTAAAATAATTTTTCTTCTAATAAATTTTACTAATAACTATTATAATTGGAACGAAGTACCTTATCGAACAGTACGAATTTGGCGGATGGGAGTTAAAAAAAGCTATAAAAACTGTAAGATTTTTCCGTCACGACCCCTTCTGACGTAGTGTAGACGGACTATAAGGAAGCGACTTGCAATAATATCCATCTCCCTCGCAGTTTTTCTTATCTTGCCATGAAAGAAATATTATTTTATATTAAATGACGCTTCATTTTAATAGACGCTAGTACTTTATTTATTTGTATTTGTTAATCAATATTATAACACAACTCAATAATAACATACTACGAAAGGAACTTCGTTCCAACCGAGTGTTCCACGACACTCACGCATGTTTTTTATTAGTTATTTATATTATATTACAATATCTTTAGAGATGTGATGAAACCGAGTAAGAATTTTATTTTTCAAAATTTATCGAGTCGAGATAAAACTAATTTTTTGGAAAAAAAAATAGGATAGTATATATTTTTCAGTTTTGTTACTTGTTCTTAAATAACAATCATGTTTAACAATTCTCACCGCAGGGTAACATGACTACGATTATCATAATTGATATCATCAAAAGCTTTTATGAGCGCGGTTATAACGTTCGAAACGTAAGTTCATGAAATCCTTGTCGGTATTGACCTCTTAATTATTGTAATTCTATGAAAAAGTTCTTGCATTTTTTATAGCGACTGGCATAAATAAATTTTTAATCCATCTACGAATTGAATTCATAATTTTTTGATTATAAAATTTCGATTAAATACAATACAATACCCTTTGTTGTATTGTATACTAAAATAAATGACATAACAAGAAACAGAGAGAAAAACAAAAGGCGGCAATTTCTTCCAGACAACTTAAAAAGGAAATAAAGAGAAGTGAAAAGTTAATTAAATCTCTTTGAGGTAGGAAAGCAAGGGACTAGACTTTATAATTTTTTTATTTGACTTAATCTTACCTTTATATCGGACTACGTATTGCTCTTGCCAGTGCAGTGTTACACCAGGCGCCGCGGCGCAAGAAGTAAACATTGCACGTGCTTCATTTTGGCGAGTAAAACTTTACTTACGTAATTTTGGTTGTCATTATAATTTTTAATTATTAGTCGTCTCATTTCATTGTTGTAAAACTAAAAAATAAAATTCACATATTTCGCATAAAACTACTCGAAACGTAGGAAGTAAAAAACAAGGTATAATTAAACGCGATAAAATTTGTAGTAGTTTTATTCAATGTGTGGTGTTAGCGTAAATATAAGAAACTATTATTGAAATATGTTGTCATTTCTATTTTTTTATTATTAATACCTGCCCCAATAGATGTTACAACTAACCCCAAGCACGGGGTAAGTTGTACCATTGTACTAATACCAGGGTGATCCAAAAGTAATGATAATCGGTTACTTCAGGTCCGCATAAAAATCCAAAAAAGATATTTTTTGCTTGCTTATATACTCACTACGTCAGCCTAAAAAAATCATATAAATAGATCACGATTTCCGGGAGATATATTCATTTGAATACGAACTGTCAAAGAGATAACATCAACATGGAGAAAAACGAAATTAGAGCTGTCATCAAGTACCTCTGTTTGAAAAAATGTCTTCAAAAGACATACACAGTGACTTAGTGGAAACATTGGGGGACTCTGCTCCTCCATATTCTACAGTTGCACGCTGGGCTAAGGAGTTTAAACTGGGCAGAACATCCACTGAAGATGAACATCGCGAAGGACGCCCATCCACGTCCCTCACTGAAGACAACGTGAAAAAAGTCGAAGATGTGTTGGCAGATCGAAGAGTGACCATCAGGCATGTAGCTGAGGTCACAGTAATCTCATATGGCAGCGTTCAAAGAATCCTTGCGAACGAGTTGCGTATGAAAAAGGTCTCTGCGCGTTGGGTACCCAGAATGTTAACCGACGAGCAAAAGAAAAATCGAGTTGACATTTCGAGGGTCAATCTCGAAAAGTTCCAAGCAGATCAAGAAAATTTTTTGTTCCGTTTTGTGACTATGGACGAGACCTGGATCCACCATTTTGATCCTGAAACGAAACAACAATCGATGACTTGGAAGCGAGCTTCCTCACCGACGCCAAAGAAATTCAAAGTTTCAAATTCGGCGGGAAAGGTTATGGCATCTGTTTTTTGGGACGCTCAAGGCATAATTATGGTGGAATATTTGGAAAAGGGAGCCATTATTACGGGCTCTTACTACACAGACCAAATAAGAAGATTACGGGAGGCCATTAAGGAAACAAGACGCGGCAAACTGCGAACTGGAGTGCTGTTTCACCAAGACAACGCACCGGCTAACAAAGCCGCAGTTGCGATGGCTGCCATTCAAGAAACGGGATTCGAACTGCTCGAACACCATCCTTATTCGCAGATCTAGCTCCTAGTGATTTCTACCTCTTTCCTCGGCTCAAGGAACGCCTCCGAGGCAAGAAATTCGAAGACGATAGCGAAGTTAATGGCCGCTGTTGAAGCGTTTTGGGAGGGTCAAGACAAAGAATTTTTTTCAAAGGGAATCCTGGGTTTAGAAAAAAGATGATTGATTTGTTAGGAAACTATGTAGAAAAATAAATTGTTATTTTAACTTTAATTACCGTGTTTTATTTTCATTATCATTACTTTTGGATCACCCCTCGTAATTTTAGTGTTTTTCCTATTGCATTTTATTTCAGACGAGTTAAAGTATATATAAATGTTCATTCCACCGATGTCAATATATTATTCTGAAAATTGTTACAATACGCGTCTAATTCCACCCGATCGTTTTTACGACCTCGCTCGTTTTTTACTAGTTTGATTTATAAATTATTAAGCTTTTCCAAATCTTTATATTTCATAAATGTACATTAGTAAGCACTTTTACCACAGTGTTAATTATCAGTTATTTTTTGATAATAATAATTATGTACTTATAATGCAGTGAATGTAAAATTCTAAGTTTTAATGATTTGACGTGATAAGTAACACGCATTCCAAAAGTCCTAAATTCAGTCGATATCGGTTTGACTGTTACAAAAACTGTTAACCTTTATAAATCCTTTAAGAACAAACCTGGTTTATAAATTTCTATATCCGTTGTACTTAATTTCCTCATTTATTTCTTATTAATTATTATCGAATGCAGATGCAGATCGGGTAAGACGAGGACAAACTACTATTTCTTTTAATGGACAGCATTGACGGAATCTTGATATGCCATATTACATCTTTGTGGAGAATTGTGTCGTCGGTATATCAATATATGTATAAGTCCATGAATAACAATTTGAAACAGGTGATCTTGATGTAAGGCTCTTTTTTCCGTGTCCAATAAACGGTTGATCTTGATCTTGCTATTGACCCGATCCGCTGTAGGCGCTTTATCAATAAAACATAAGCGTATCGTAAAATTGTAAATGGCATATTATGTTATTAAATGACACCTTAAATATCTATTGCTTAGGTTTACTTTAGAAATTTTGTTTTATTTAGACCTTTAAAATTAAAACTGGCAATTGTAATATGAATTACTTATGTTACAGTGACACCATAATACCGGTTTATTTATTTTTAAACAAAACAAAAGTAATGAAATCGTTATGATATTTTTTCTATTGTTTAAATCTTTGTTTTGTTTTAATCAGCCTTATGTGATGTGAGTTATAACTGTTGGAAGCTGCTCCTAATAACTCACCAAATAACGCGCGTTTTTAAATTTGACCATACAAACCATGCTAGCGGGGTGTTAAGCACGGCTCCGATAAAACTTTCAATATACAATATACTCCAATGCACAATATTCAATAAATCATACTAGCTATCATCTACTCAACTAATGAAACCATCGAAGCACCTTTAAATATTTTTGTTACCTTATCCAATGATAATGTCTAATCTAGAATAAAGACAGTGGTGATAGATTTACTTACATTACATGCAGTTACGGTAAAATGTAGCTCCGCAATTACGAAACGAATTGGTATCAAGGCGGGTAGAATTTAGAATTTAAAAAACCACGTACGTCCAATCTCGAAAATGTCTCAGGAGGCACCAGGCACTGGCCTGGCCAGAGGCAATGTTGTGCAGCCAACTCAAAAAACATTTTATGCAAAATTTACCATTAAAAAAGCCAAAAGCATGAAAACTCTTACGGAAAATGCTTAAGAAATAAGTGCCAAAGTAAATTATTCTGTTATAGCACATGAGTTCCCCGATAACGAGATATTTTTTTAACAAACAACTCAATAGATTTTATCCTGTTATAGATTCGTACGATTGATAATTTCGCCGGCGGGGTTCGAACCCGAGTTGCGCACGTACTGTGATATTTACAACGAGCTCTTAGCTTAGCCTGAGCTACCACGGCGTTTTAAACTTTAAAAAAATACGTGGTAGAGCCATGCTGCAGTTATATTACTGGTATAATTGTGACACAAATGGGTCGGCTCGATCGGGGAAGGACCACGTTCTCACATAATACCAGCGTAAAATAGCAGCTTAACGCTGCTGTATTTCGTATGGTGAGCGTAAATTACCGGAGACACTTTTTACTGGAAACGAGGCATTCCATCTCAGTCCTCACGAGTGACAACGCATCTGCATTTTGTTTCGTAATCGAGGATAGATGTAGATGTCTATGGGCCACAGCAACCACTTACCCTCAGGTAGACTGTGTGCTCGTTTGTTACCCTTATCATATAAAAAATATGCCTATGTTTATTTAGTTGTAACAACATATTATTCAAAGATAAAACAACAGAAAACTTACAAACAAAATTAAACGTATTTCCTCTACTCTGTTTGTGACTGAGTTTATGTATTTGTATATGTCATTAGGAATAATGAATTTTACATTTAATGTTATTATTGCAGCTCAGAGTACCGTTACGTCAAGTTGTGCGGCCTCGAGACTTGACTGTTATCATCAATAAGCGGCACCTAAAAGTTGGCATCAAGGGCCAACCGTTAATCATAGACGGCGAGCTCGATGCTGATGTTAAGGTGGAAGAGTCCACGTGGGTACTCCAGGATGGAAGGAACCTGCTCGTCAACTTAGAGAAGGTATATATTTTTCTATTATTTTTACCAGTTTGTCGGCCGAGATGACAATCCACCTGGTGGTCCATCCACAAAGGTGTTAATGGTTGGTTTCTACACCACTTTGATTTTATATTATAATAATTAAGTTATTATAATTACATCTGATCATCATGATAATTTTTCATCCATTAAATCGCATGCAAACAGCAAGAGGTGGTATATAAACAGATTACTTTATTTTTAATTAAGTCTCTTTTTTAATTATTTATAGTTTGTAATGAAATCTTTTGTAGGTTAACAAAATGAACTGGTGGGGCCGCCTTGTTACTACTGACCCAGAAATATCTACGAGAAAAATTAACCCAGGTAAGATATTATGACAATTTTAAATTGCTTGAAATTAAACTATATCATATACTAGCTGGCCAGGCAGACGTTGTTCTGCCCTTTCCGACGACCCTTCCTATGAAAATATCAGTTTAATTGTTTAGGAGTTCATCGTGGAGAAACAATGTGACACGTAATTTTTATATATAAAGAATAACAGTGATTTATTAATATAATAAGATAAGATTTAGCATTGAAGTTTATTGTGTTCTTACAACTTTTAAGAAAAAAGTGATGCTGCCATTAGAAGAGGGTTTGTCTTAATCGCATTGCTTTGCACGCAGATTTGCGATTGCAGTACCAAAAATCAATTTTTATGTTACTCGATACTTATGTCGGTACGATACGCGCCACCTACTGTAAGTTAAGTGTACTATGCCTATAACCTTCGCGCAATGCAAGCAATAAGTTGACAAAGTTTTACCGCAATCAGATAAACGGTATGGCAGCGCATAAAGAATGAATAAACATTATTTTCTATATATTAGATTATTATCGTTTGTGCTATTAGATCTTAGTGATCGTGTAACTTCTGAACGCTTTGACGGATTGAGGTCGTATTCGAACGATGGGATCATAGCTATACTAGAATCCGATATGTGGCGATGTAATATAATATAGACTAAATTGACCCATATTTATAATATTTTACGTAAGTTTGGGCGCGAAAAAAGAAAATTACACAATCTAGACCCAAAAGGTGGCGTTATGGTCCACTTGTTTATAAATTTTATATTTACAATATAAAAGTCCGGAGTGAATTCGGAGTGGAACTCGTCGCGCCATCCACTGGGAAAGGACAGACCGTCGAGCAAACGACTGTCTGTCTACCTCTGCCGAGCCAGCTAGTTCAAAACGCTATAGCTAGTACGGTGGCATCGTAACCCATGGCTTCATTTTGGCCGAAGGCGTGTTTGCAAGAGTTTTGTTTTGCATTTAACTCCGTGGTCCTTGGTAGACTTAGAATCGCCCGTTAATCCTAAAGCATAAGTGAAGAGCGTTCGGCAAACATATTGACCCCCATCCTTAATAGGAGTTCTTGTGTTTGTCATGTACGCCGAATAACCCACCCCGCTGCACGCTCGTCAGTGGCGTTTTAAATTGAAGATGCTACTACGTATAGTATATTATTGTTTCAGAACCTTCAAAGCTCTCAGATTTAGATGGGGAGACGCGCGGACTTGTCGAGAAAATGATGTATGATCAAAGGCAGAAAGAAATGGGCCTTCCCACCAGTGACGAACAAAAGAAACAAGACGTACTTAAAAAGTAAGTTTTTTTTTAAATCAAAATTCATTATATTACTTAGCATTTGTCATCAAACTCAATTGAGGTATGTTATTTCCCTCATGTAAAAAATATATTTTTAGTTTCGTCACAAATAATTATTTGAATATTAGGATATTATTTATTTACTTAATAAAATTTTATTTTAAAGTTACATAAATCCTACAGCAATGCTTGAATATATAATTTAAACGCTTGCTTTTGCCTCGAAATACTATTTTTGTTGCTACATCAGAATACAGAGCACTGAATTTCATTATTTCAAAAAAAATTATATCATATCTATACAAATAAATAAAATTGAACTGTCTGTTTGTAATGTCAAAATAAAAACTTTTTACTAATTGCATATGAAAGTGTATACTGTACTTATAACAAAAACACAATTTTTAAAATTTTTGTCTGTCTGTCTGTGTGTTTGTTCCGGATTATCTCGGAAACAGCTGGACCGATTTTGACGGGACTTTCACTGTTAGATAGCTCATGTTACAAAGAGTAACTTAGGCTACTTATATTTTTTTTTAAATAATTAGGGTTCCGCGCAACAAAACTTAAACCCTAAATTACACGCGGGCGAAGTCACGGGGAACAGCTAGTATTATAATATATTCATAGTTTCTTTCTACGGTTTTTTGTGTGGAGTTCAAATTAAAATTGATCACAATTTTATAATATACCATTACAAAAATATTGTACAATCTCGTTGCATCAAAGCTACAAGGCCGATGAATCAGCAGAACTGGAATGCCAAAGGGGAATGCCCAATTCTGGCCATGAAACGCCCAACAATTTGCATTTGTTAAAAAAATATATCTTTTTTTATGGTAATTAATCGCAGTATTTATGTATCCAAAAAAGATTGCAATATTTTTCCACAAAAAAAAGTACCGAAAAGATAAAAATGAAATTAGGTAAATCCGCAAGTCATTAGTTTGTGGGTAAAATAAAAAGTGTTGCCAATCACAAATCTCGTAAAAAAAAGTCGATTATGTTTTTTCAATCGATTTTTATGTTGTCATTATTATAATGGTAATATTATTTTCGATAATTATTATGATGTTATGATAATTAAACAAGCGAATTGCTAGTTGATTTACCATGAACTGTTTATAACATAACAAAAACGCTACTGCACAATTTAACTGTTATTTTTATCTGTTCTTAAAAATACATTTAAAATGGAATTTAAATAAATAAAACAAAACATATTTTAAAAGGCTTGCAGAACTTAAGGCGAATCAAAGATTATTATTTTTATGAAATTATAAATCGATTAAAAAAATCACTATCTATTTATCGATTTTATGTCTGTTAATTGGCAACATCGAATCTGACAGCTAGGCCCATTTCATAATTATCGAAACTAAATAGTCACAAGTCGAATGACTTTGCATTTGTGTTATTTTGTTTGTTTTCTCGCGGATTTGTTGTCTAAGTAACGAATAAGCTTTCTAAATGGATTCCGATAATTCTTCTCGCCATATTGACCACGGCCTGAAAATGGATCCCGCTCCCACTTCTTACGATAACCTCTGCACGAACTTGGACTCGATATCCACTGTTAACGATGACCCCAGCTTTCCGTCACCCAGAGTTCTTCCTAGCTCTCAGTAACTCACTCAAGAACACATTAACGCTGTGTCAATTGTGGTTTAAATGTCACGAAAATACGAAGTCATTTGTTGTTAAAAACTGTTCTTGTGAAAATAAAAAGCCTTTATATCTTAAAAATCCGGACTTTTTTTAAACCAATTCCTTAACCATTTCATTATTTTAATTGCATATTATCATTTCCATATGCTTTTATATGTGGGCACCTATGGCCGAAGTGTCTATGAACGGTGGGCATTCCCTCTAACTTATGAGACCATCTATTAACTTCCTAGTGTAGGAGAAAATTATTCAAAAAACATGTATTGGAAACAACTGTGTTGTCAGATTATATATATATATATTTTTGTTGCGTGTAATGATAATAGGTATCGTAATTTATAAGAATATTTTATTGGTATAAAAAGTTTATTAGATATAAAAAATTTATTTTATATTCTGTAATGAGATCGATGCCTTGCAGTATGATATTAATATATAATATATATAATCCTATACCTCTAAGCACGCTATATATATATATATAATTTAAGTATTGTGTTTAATAAAAAAATGTTTTTTTCCAGATTTATGGAACAACACCCGGAAATGGATTTCTCTAAATGCAAATTTAATTAAAGGTTACACTGATAGGAAGTACAAAATTTTTCTCATTCACATGTATCGTGTTTCTTGTCATCCATGTAGAGATGAGGTTGCTCCATTACTCACTACATACAATTCATTCTAATAGAAGCAGTACTGAAGTATGCTGTATGCTTTTATAAACACCAATGTACATTATGTTTACACTTAAAAACGATGTTGATATAAATAAATGTTAACTAACATTAATGGTAGTATTTATTTAATATTTATATGGGATATCGAGTAACAAACGAGCTAATAGCCACCTGACAGTAAGTGATTACTGCAAGCAATATCATGTTGATATTCCATTACATATAGGCTGTAATTTATAATTTTGAGATATTATCAGGAAGATGCTCCTGCCCATCTCCTGTTTCAGTTTCCTTTTGTTGGATATTCTTACACCCTTACAACACGGTTAAATGGTGATATATTTTTTAAATAATACATATTTTGTATCTGGCGGTCCGTCGTTGCGCTAGAAGCAAAACGAACTGAACCCTAAATAAGCTATCGAAGTTTCTGAAGTAATCTGGTATATATAGAATATCTCTGTACTACCACACGGAGCGTCTCCGCTCCCCGAGCTCAACACCTTGCCCGGCGGGAAATCTCTTTTTCCTATCACGACCAAATGTAATAAGAACATATTACTTACCCAACAAGCTCTGTATGAAACCCAGTCCTTATTTAGAAATTTCATTGTTAACCTTACTGCACTTTTTATAGAGTTGAACATCTATGGTCGTAACTTCGTTCGCATATAATCTTTATCTTTTATTGTTTCTTTGTATTTGGCCGATGAGTTTTTCATTATGTCAGTTTCAACGTTTATTACTTTGGGTCTAATTTTAGTATTAAAACTACAAAATTTTCTACTTCAAATAAAAATATAGGTAATATTATGTTTATAATTAGGATAACTCTGAGTGTTCCGCACAATAATATATTAAAAAACTTGAGTAAGTAGAGCCTTGGTAGCTTAGGAGATAAGCGCTCACTGTAGATTTCAAATTGTGAAAGAAAACTTGAGGGAACCTGCATGTCTGAGAATTTTTTTTACGGTGTAGAACCATGCTGCGGCTATATTTGTAGTATAGTTGTAGCAAGAATGGGTCGGCTCGACCGGGGAAGGACCACGCTCTCACAGGAAACCAGCGTAAAATAATCCTCAGAAGACACAAGTTTGCGCGTTTACCGCTAAAAAGAACCCTTTTATCGTACCACCTCAGTTTCAAGGCACTTGCCTTCTTGCCTCAGCCAGTATCGAAATCCTCGGAGTCGACATATCGAGTGACGTGCAGTTTCGCGCTCACTTGGAAGAGAAGGCCAAATTGGCCTCTAAAAAGTTTGGCGTACTCAGCAGAGCGGGACAGTATTTCATGCCGGCACACCGCCTGCAACTTTACAGGGCGCAGGTTCGGCCTCACATGGAATACTGTTCCCATCTCTGGGCAGGGGCTCTCCAGTGCCAGCTCCTTCCACTTGATCGCATCCAGCGCAGAGCGGCTCGAATCGTCGAAGACCAAGTCCTTTCCGATCTGCTCGATTCATTGGCACTGCGAAGAGATGTTGCATCCCTTTGCATTTTCTTTCGTATTTACCACGGGGAGTGCTCTGAGGAATTGTTCGGATTAATCCCAGCCGCCAAATTTCACGAACGCACATTGCGGCAGAACTCCCGATACCATCCACACCATCTGGATGATTGGCGGTCCACCACTGTGCGATTTAGAAGATGTTTTCTTCCTCGCATGACTTCCTTGTGGAATCGATTACCATCAGCGATTTTTCCGGACCGATACGACTTAGGGACCTTCAAGAAAAGAGCCTACTCCTTCTTAAAAGGCCGGCAAAGCGTCTGAGATTCCCCTGGTTCACCTGGTGTTGCAGTTGTTCATGGGCGGCGGTAGTCACTTACCATCAGGTGAGCCGCATGTTCTTTTGCCCCCTCTCCTATATAAAAAAAATTTGAATGAAACTAATTTTACAGATAAACTACTTTAACAAAGAATTTCTCGGATTGGAAATTTCAATGATAAGGAGGGAATGGTAAAGAGGTGCAAGAGAATCCAACGCCTCATATCGTACCGTGAGCGTCGTAAGAGGCGACCATTGGATATGTCAAACAAATCTTACAACTTCTGATTGATTGCGGCATAATCATCTCGTTCAGGCCAGTTGTAAATTACCCAGATCGACGATGGGCAGTATCATCGCAGGGACGGGATGTCCGGTTGTGCAACCATCAATCCGCTGCCATTCGTGACATTTAAGGCAAATACTTCCTATAGCAGGAAAGTCCCAAAAGGATAATTCTTTAACATTTTTGTGTTACAAAGTAATATGACGAAAAGTCTACCAAACCTATACAAGAAAGTTCGCCATTAACCCAAATTTTAAGTCAAACATTTCGTCAATAACAACATAAAAATGGCCATGACCCATGGTTCCGATTGGTCTTTAAATAAGCAACCCTAAAAATAATACAAATGGTGTTTGCTTATAAAGAGGCTGTTTGACCTCTTCATATAAACATTTTGTCTTATAGCGCTAAAAAAATAAAGTGGCAGCATTGCCGTCTTAATACAGCATCACACTCACTCACTTCCATATATGAACGGCTCAACCAGGCTCAACCCAAGGAACGACCTCGTACCTGCCACAGAATACCAGCATAAAATAGTAGTTTTTTACGTGGTAGAGCCATGCTGCAGCTATATTAGTAGTATAGTTATAGCACGAATGGGTAGGCTCGACCGGGGAAGGACCACGCTCTCACAGAATATCAACGTGAAATAGCAGCTTAACACTGCTGTATTTCGTATGGTGTGTGTAGAGAGTCGGAGACCCTTTTTACTGCAAAAGAGGCGTTCCATCTTAGTCCTCACGGGTGACAACGCATCTGCATTTTGATTCGCAAACGAGGATAGATGAATAAGTCTGGGCCACAGCAACTACTTACCATCAGGTGGACTGTATGCTCGTTTGTCACCCTGTCCTAAAAAAAATAAACAGAATTGACCAAACATGTCAAACTAGGCTGTATGGTCAAAACCATATCTAATAAACTAACTGTAACAAAAAGAAGAACATCTATGGACAAGGAGTTTGGTGAGAAACTGTCCGCCAACGGATTGCAGATCCTTTTTTATCTTTTAAGTAATGGGTTGAACTGGATTTTAGTTACGTGGTGTGCAGCGATTTTGTGTATTAAAGATCCGTGCGTTTAAAATATTAGTGGAAACGATATAACAACTGATTCAAGGGCAATATTATAAACCTCACTTTTTATCCGATAGAGGTCTTGAGTCGTATTGACATTAACTGTCCACTTGGTTAACCTCTCAGATCCCGACATCGTATAGGACCAAGTCCCATCAGGCCAAGGTCTAAGTATAATTTTTTTTTGATTCACAAAACCAGGCCCTGTCAAATAACGTTTGGAACCTGCATGGCATTAATAACAGCACCATTGAATAAATTTACGGAAAACTACGTTGGCTTCCCAGGTCGATATAGTATTTGAGAAACCGTGTAGAAGCCTCAAAAATATCTGTTACGTTTGATATGAAAATGGACTCAATTTAAAGCAAAAGCAACAGTTATCTTCTCTATGTTTTATATTATATTATTTTAGAGGTTTTCAAACAGCTTGGCAACTTTAAGGTAGATATCTAGTAAAACAAATATCACAAAAGAAATAATTCTGTAACCGCGCCATCTACACAGTTTGTCAAGTACTATATCGAACTGTGAAGCCGATATAGTTCTCTGCGGATTTATCCAATGGCGCTGTTATTAATGCCGCTTAAGCCTGGACTAAAGTAAACGTCTTGTATAATGGCAGAAGGTCGTCATCTGAAGTATATTCTTTAGGGGCGCGTTATTTAGTAACCTAATACTAATGAAATTATTTTTTTTTAGAATTTTAGTTGTATAATTTTATAAATAACATTTAAAAGAATTGTTCCGAGGAGTTTATAAATGTGACGTGTGCAAACCCGATTTGAACCACTAGGACTACACAGATTAAACTATCGTCAAAATCTCCCAAGAGTTTCGCTATTTGACGCATTATTAAATTATGAAGCATTTTGAGAACAAAATATAAATCAGATTAGGCTGTATGGTCTCAGACTTTGTCTTTGTTAATTGACAAAAGTAATTACGTTTTGTCTACGTTCTCTACCATGGACAAACGTTCGACGTTCTTCATCTATACTCTACCGTCAACCCGTCAAGTGGGGGGTTTTGGCGGGAGCTTGACCGGCGGGGATTGCTGCTCTTGTATTATTGTTTAAATTGAAGTGGATTTAGATGGTGGTGCGATTTTGTGTATTAAGTGTCTTCGCATGTGAACTATTAGTGGAAACTGTGAAACAAGTGCTATGATGGTGATGTGATTCTCAAAATAAGATGTCTGTCTGCTTAGGCGCCTTGAGATATCATCGCCAACCGCCAGTTATCTGCTGGCTCTAATTGCCATCAAAATCTCCCAAGGGCTTCACAATGTGACGCATCAATATATTGTGAAGCAGTATACTATGAAGGATTTATAATATATTGTAACTTCAGGCTCAGAAGGGCGAGATCCCACAGCCGTAAAGCCAGTTATTAAAAAAATCTTTTTATACAGGTATAGGTAACATTAACATGTAGTGTCAATTGTCAATCACCAAAATAAACACGTAGCCGCAATATTTTATATCGTTTGTAGTTTACATGTGCTTTAAAATTGTGAAAAATGGTTAGAGCTATTTACTCACCCGAATATTGTCTGCAATATTTAGAACAGTTTGCGTCTCAAGAAATTTTCGTCACTGGATTAATTTTAGGACAGGTATGGCGGATATTTACATGTATTTTATTTTTTTAATTAGGCTAATGCTACGTTTCATATTGCAGATTACGAATTCTCGCGAAAATGTTATACATCTAGCTCGAACGCCAGAGGAAAAAAGTACAGACAACGTATCCGAAGAAAGTTTCACTTCGGACAAACAAGAACCCGTAAAAAATTTACTTGGAGTCTCTGAGGCATGGGTTGCTGATCATGCCAAACATGTGACAAGAATGTTACCGGGTGGTGTGTTTGTTCAAGGTAAGTTTAGACATGGTTTACTTGTGAACTCCCTGGAATGAATCATAAGCAAAACTGCAATTCATAATCCCTTTGATAATACCAACAACAACTCGATTGATGATGATGTGACCAAATAAATAAACAACAAATAATACAGTAGCTTCTTTTATGTAAAATGTAATGCCTTTTGTTTAATATACAAATACAAAATTTATTAGTATTATTTTAAATTATTAGTATTACAAAAGCTTACCATGATTTATTCACTGCACAAAGGTTAATATAACACTAGCTGCATTGTTGCTGTACTGAATAGCAACAATACCTTTGCAGAAGGAAAGATCCAGAGTGAGTATCACCTTCCATATGTTGAAGTGGTGTGCTCAGTTCTCTCACTAAATAGTTTGCCAAGTTGCAAATGCTAACAGAGGAAAGACGTAGCTGGATTGGAAATGAACATATTTATGGTGCTTATGTTTTGCTGCTGCTTCAATCACAGCTCCTGTCTCACAGATTATCTCGTTAATCTTTAAGGCTATTGGCACAAGTCTCATCCCACATAAGACAACACCTTGTTTCCTAGAATCCTAGAGTGAGTTTTTCTGACTTTTTACAATCCATGCCACTCAGACCAAGTGGTTTGAGAACAGCTGGTAAGATTGCCCTACCAAGGGTGCAGCACACTATCATTTAGATTGTGATGAGGAGAAAATTTGCCAGCACATCATCGAGTGCATAATGTTGTTGGCCTAAATTATTACTCTGCAATGCAATCTCACCTAATCTAAGCACAGTTGTAATTCAATTCATATCCTTGTCTAGGAATACCCATTTACCCATCTTGGGTGATGTCAAGGCTTGTAACCAAGTATAATTATAAGCATATTAAACATTTATGCTTACAATTCATATTTGGACTCTGTAAATATGATCTTATTACAAAATTTCGTAAACTTCTTATGTGCCTGCAGATTCGCCTTTTCAGGAATACTTACATCCTTCCTGCTTTATATAACATACTGTTTAATCCCTCTACTCCAAGTTACTTGAAAGACCGCTTTGAATTTGTTTTCTCCTCTCACGATCACCATCTATGTTCCACTAACAATTTTTTGCTTTGTATTCCATTACATTCATTCTACTTCTTCAATAAATCTTTTTCAGTTACAGCTGTACGTTTGTGGAACTTCTTGCCTTTATATATTTGATATGCTCGGGCCCTTTTTTCCTTCAAAAATCTACTCTAAACTTATTACTTGGAACTCTAATATTTCCAATTCACTGTAAACAACAGTTCTTAGCTAAATAAAGGTTGTCTGGAAGAAAACTCTTCCAGAGCGATAAGACCGCCTATTGTACTTTGTATATATTTATTTCATTTTGTTTCGTTGTAATGTGCGTTGGTGAACAATAAAGAATATATTCATTGATTGATTGATTATAATTATAAGCCCTAGCAATAATTATTAAAACTGAGAGGAAGTATGTACTATATACTGAGTTTTGTTTGCAAAAATAAATTTCACATTTTTAGCTACTTACATAACTTTCTTTAGCTATTTAGCCTAGTAACACCACTAGTGTTATGGGAACCTTTTAGCAGAGAACAATTCAGTTTAATTAATCATCAAAATAATAGTTATAAGTAGAAATTGTAAAGAAATTTTGGTGATTTTAACTTCCACAATGCCAAATGGCTTGGTTAATGATTAACCGACCATGCAGGGAGATCTGTTTATGACTTTGACCTTGGCATATGGTCTGACACAAGAAGGTAAAAGTTAAAAATCTTGGGGTGCTTTGTAGAGTGGGACATGTTCAGCCTCACTGGCGCTCTGTACACTGTATACTGTACTCATCTCTGGGCTGGGGCACCCCAGTGCCAGCTCTTTCCTCAGTGCAGGTTGGATTATTGATGACTGAGTTTCTTCTGATTGGCTTGACTCACTGGCGCTCTGAAGATATGTTAACATTAAATACATTATCAAATGTTAAAAATTGTATCACCAAAAAGTTGTGTTAATTCTGCAGTTGTTCAAACTGTCATTAATAAATGTAAAGCACAGTATAACATTTAAATATTATGTACGCATGAACCTGATACCTGGACAATAATTGTCCATGGGCTGTAATTATTTCACATGGCTGTACCCACTTATATGATATGTAATCTTAGCTTGTTTTTCAGTTAAATATTTCAAAAATATCTGTGGAACTTAATTCTTTTAATTATAACAATTTCAGGTATTTTTATTACAAGCGATGAGGACATTTTTGAAGAACCGAACTATTTTAGCAAAGTGAAGTCTATTTTAAATTATATGTACAGAATACTAAACAGTAATCGGTTTATGTTTGCCAACTGTCCCGACTCCAATGAAAGGTTGATCTTACACATGTCAACAAACACCAAGGTACTAACATGCAAAAGTGTAGAAATAGGTGGACCTAACAAGAATACTTCTATTAAACCAGTTGAATGGAAATTTTTGTCTAAACCACAGCAATGGCAGAGGTTAGACTGTTATTATGAGTTTGATGATGTTTACCCTGTAATTGTAAAGAACAGTGGTATTTCAGTTAAACAACAGTTTCAGGTATGTCTATTATTATATGGTATGGTAATTTCACATAGCATAGGTGAACCAAAAAAATGTAAACAGTTTGAAAATTTTTTGTTATTGCAAATATTTTGCTCTCTTTAATAATTAACACAATTATGTTATTAATTAACGTTTTCATAGATAGAATAGGCATAGAGAAACAAACCAGCAGATGGGCAAATGTGCCTTTCTAATAACAACTAAACACTAAAATTTGCGGTAGCCAACCTGCCTGCTAAGCTTGACAACTATGACAAATATGAGGCAATCTATGGGGGAGGCCTGTGTTCAGCAGTGGACTTTTAATAGGCTGTAACGGTATAGATGACAACTATTTTGTCGGCAAATCGAAGATGACAGATGTACTCACCATTGATGTTGATACCGCATTATCTACAGCTTGAAAACGTCTTCTTATGCAATGATGAAGATTTTCGGGAATTTGACGGCAACCTGTATTACAATTCTCTGTAATTTGATAAGTTTCGTGGGGTTTATGAGTCTTGTAAATTGAAGAACACTAACATAATCTATTAAAAAAAGATGTAAACTGAAACAATTGCAGTGTTTAATGCAGGAGCCCCAATTCCTTTCATAAAACTATAGCCAATACTGTTTTTCCTGTATTTATATTAGTCCAATAATAATTAGGAAACCTTTTCGTTTATTTGCTCTTAAGATAGTTTTTGCGGCAGTAGTTATTAATGTTCACTGGTTTTCCTAAACGTCATTACATGCTCATCCTATTTGATATTAAAAAGTTATTTCTGTATACATTTGGTTACATTTGAATAATGCATATCAATTTTTTACTTTAAATAAATCAATCTTACTAAATAACTTACTTATAGAAGAAGATTAAATATGGTAGTCGTAGCCAATAGAGTATCCATTATACTAAGCATGTTTTGACAGTTAAGTTGGGGAAAAATCAATTTTATTTCCATTTATCTCTGTTTACATTTACCCACCTTCAATAATACCTAATAATTGTCTATAATCACAATGAACTTAACAGTGTAATAAAAAAATCACCAAATTAATATAAAATTTTCAGCAAATACTCGAGTCGGCACATAAAACAATTGATTCAAGTGTGATGTTCATTGATGGTGAATTGAAAGATGGTTCGGAACAGTTGGAACAAATCATAAAAAAGAAAAAATCAAAAAACAATACTAAAACTTCACAAGACTTGCCTAAGTCTATGCATGTGTCATTGTTTGTGCCATTTGTAAGTGCTTCTTACTATTTTATATAAATTAAACTTTATATGTACATATATAAATTTTAGATAAGAAATAAAAAAAATATATTTTAAAGGAAACTTTTTGAATTCCTCTAAAGATTTTTTAATAAAATAAGGGTGACATACGAGGTGAGTGGATGTAGTGGCCCATAGACATTTACATCTATCCTTGATAAAGTGGATTTTTTAATATAGGGTAAGGGTGAGAAACGAGCACACAGTCCACCTGATGGTAAGTGGTTGCTGTGGCTCATAAACAACATCTACCTCTATCTTCAACAACGAATCACAATGGAGATATGTTATCACCCATGAGAACTAAGATGGAATGCCTAGTTTCCAGTAAAAAGGGTCTCCGGTCCTTTACACTCGCCATACGAAACACAGCAGCGTTAAGCTGCTATTTTACGCTAGTATCTGGTGGCTCTATCATGTGTGTGTGATTAAAAGATTTTCTAATTTTCAGGAGAATGCCCTGCCTGAAACTGTGGAGTATTTGGAATGTGATGGCAGTATACACTTTAGTGGTGTGGTATCTTCTAGTGTGTTTATGTATCCTAAGGCAACAGTTAGTGAAGCAATTGCAGCAGTGAAACAAGATATTATAAGATCATTAGCATCTCGTTTTACTATGCACTGTGATGCGCTAATTGATGACAATTTACTTCCTGAAGGTTTGTACAAAACAAATCGATTTTTTATTATTTCTACTCAATTGTGGTATTGGTTACACGATTTTCAGCCAAAAGAATACACCCAGAACTTCGCGTTACATTATCTATTATTAATTATGTTAAAAGGCAGTTAACCGTTTTTTTATATGGGATAAGAGTGATAAGTGAGCACACAGTTCACCTGACGGTAAGTGGTTGCTGTGGCCAAAGACATCTATCCTCGTTTGCGAATCAAAATGCAGATGCGTTATCAGCCGTGAGGACTAAGATGGAATGCCTCTTTTCCAGTAAATAGGGTCTCCGGTTCTCTACACTCACCATATGAAACACAGCAGCATTAATCTGCTATTTTACGCTCGTATTCTGTGAGAGCGTGGTCCTTGACCGGTCGAATTACCGTGCTACAACTATACCATTAATATAGCTGCACATGGCTCTACCACATATACAATTTTGAGACCCAGAAACAGTCACAATAATTTGTGGTTTTGATCATTATCGGAACTTTAATCTTTCCATTCCCTGTTTTTATGCATAGATATTACACAAAATTGCACCATTTTGCTTATCAAAGTACAATACAATATAGAATCAGCAGTCCATGTGCTGTCAAATCTATAAGGGCGGGTCAAAAAGTTCGCGAAATGGAAGGGTTAGAGATTTTAGAAGGATCTTTTTCTGTCTTTACTTGATGACTCAATACAACTATAAATACCAAGTTTCAGCTAGATAACCGATCTAAACGTTAACCTTTGAGATATTACGGGATAAACAAGTCAATCGAAAATGGAACACTATGGAGAAAATTGAGTTTTGTGCCATGATTAAGTTCCTCGCTTTACCGGGACTATTGCCCTGGAAAAACAAAGCCTTTCATGCAAGGCACAGACTCAATTGAATACGATCGCTGCTCAGTTCGACCGATTGAGGCAACTTCCTGAGACATTGTTGAAAAAGTTAAAAAACTAGTTCTTGAAGATGCTCGTCAGAAGAAAAACAAATTGCAGAAATGAATGGAGTATCATCTAACACCGTTTTAAACACTCTCCATAACCCATCATCTATGTCTAAGGTCAGTGTAAGATGCAAGAATGCTCACAACGCTTCAGAAACAGCAGCGTGTCGACTGTTCGCGCGAGTTTTTGGACCTGTGTAGTGAGAACAGGGACGAAATTATGAAAGAAATTGTGAGTGAAGATGAAACTTGGGTACATCACTATGAACCTGATTCAAAGCAGGAGTCCAAGCAAGTAGCATAAAAAAGGCGCAGCACCTACTAAGAAGTTCAAGGTGTCGCAATCGGCTGGAAAGATTAATGCTTCAGTTTTTTTATAGATCGATTACAAAGATAACGGTGTCAATAACATGGGACAGTATAACGCTACGAGATGGGGTGCTAAAAATTTCCGGTGGAGGTTCGGTTGCCACCTAAGACGACTCAAGCTGGCAACATTTAACGCACGCATTCTGAGAACTGACGAGAAGATCCTGGAGCTGGAAGAAGGGATAGACAAGTTGCGCTGGAATATTATAGGATTATTCGAGGTCCGAAGAGAGGGGGAGTACATGGTAATCCTCGAATGCGGCAACTTGTTCTGTCACCAGGAGGGCGACCATCTGTCCCAAGGAGGTGTCGGATTTATCGTCCACAAGTCTCTCCTTAACAATGTTGTAAAGATTGAGAGTGTGTCGACGAGGGTTGCGTACTTTATACTCACTATCACCAAACGGTATTTGCTGAAGGTCATACAGGCTTACGCATCAACCTCGGCACATCCCAATAAGGAGGTGGAGGAAATGTATGAGGATATATCTAGAGCCATGTATTCCTTCAAACCCACTATACGGTGTTAATCCATCCACAATACATTAAGCAATTTATAGGTTTTGCCTTGTGTGAGGTGTGACAATCTAATAAAGTGAATAGTAGAAGAATAATAAAACCTACCGTTGGTTACAGCAAAATACAGTAAACACAAATTACCCTATATATTATGTACTCTGTGACGCTTTCACTGGTTAAATACCTAAGGATTAATATGTGTATGTATACTGGTAGCGATCACCGAATGCTTAGAGGCACACTGAACCTGAACATTAAGTTAGAGAGCTTTCGTCTAATGAAAACAACGCTCCGTCCCCCTCGTGCTCCCGAAACCTTTCTAAGTTAAAACCGTTTTAAGTGCCTAGAAGAGTGCAATGCAGTGGACGACATGAATGACAAGCTCATGGAAACTGTCCATGCAGTCGGAGCTAAGTTCTGGAAGACCTGCCGCAGAAGAACACAAAAACTCTCCGATCACACTCTTAATCTCATGGCTGTTAGACGGGAAACGAAGCTGCAGTCTTCAGCAGATTGGACAGCGTACGGGCAACTGAACAGACAGATCTCCAAATGCATGCGGCGGGACTTTGCAACTTCAATACAGCACGTATTGAAAAAGCGACCGAGCGGAACCAGGCCCCAAAGTCTTTGCTAGATATTTGTCTGCTAGACACAGCCAACTGTCGAAGCTGAAGACAGAGTGTGGCAACGTCGTTTCCGGGAAACCTGAGATTTTGAGTGAGATTAGAGAGGTTCTACGGGCAGCTGTACACATCATCGTTGGAACCACATGCAAGTGCGAGTAACGATCCAAAAGCAAGTCTTATCCGACACTATTCCGATAATATTCCGGACGTCAGTCTGAGCGAGATTAGAATGGCTCTCCAGCACCTTAAAAACGGCAAGGCCCCAGGTGAGGATGGAATTACAGCGGAGCTTCTGAAAGCGGGTGGAAAACCGGTACTTGAACTCCTTCAGAAGCTCTTTAATTCCGCCCTCCATGGTGGCATTACACCGGAGACGTGGAGCAGAAGTGTGGTGGTCTTGTTCTTCAAGAGAGGCGACAACGCTTTCTTGAAGAATTACAGATAGATTTCCCTTTTGAGCCGCGTCTACGTGCTGTTTTCGAGAGTCATTACGAATCGTCTCGCACGCAGAGTTGTAGACTTTCAGGCTCCCGAACAAGCCGGTTTCCGAAAAGGCTTTAGCACCATAGACCACATACATACCCTTCGACAAATTGTAGAGAAGTCCGAGGAGTACAATTTGCCACTATGTCTGGCGTATGTGGACTTTGAGAAAGCCTTTGATTCCGTCGATATTTGGGCGGTGCTGCAGTCCCTTCAGCGATGCCAAGTTTACTGTCGGTATATCGAAGTGCTGAAGTGTTTGTACAGTAGGGCTACGATTGCTATCCGAGTACAGAACCAGGGTACGAAACCTCTCCAGATGTCCTGCAGAGAGGAAGACGTTATCAAGCTAGTGGACTAGGAAGGATACGGTATTAACGTCAATGACGAGTACATCACTCAGCTTCTATTTGCCGACGATATTGTCCTTATGGCAGAATCGCTGGAGGGCCTAAGCACTATGCTCAATGACCTCAATAGTGTCTCCCAATGGATAGGTCTTAAGATGAACATGGAAAAAACAAGTCATGTGTAACATCCATGTCACACTTATGTCGGTAGTTGTTGGGAACACTAAGCTCGAAGTTATTGACGAATATGTTTACCTGGGACAAATAGTCCGACTAGGTAAGTCCAACTTCGATCGAGAGGTCAATTGACAGATACAACTTGGCTGGGCAGCGTGCGGGAAATTACGGCATATCTTCTCGTCAGGTATACCTTCATTGCTGGCCGTATGAGGAAGCTCAAGGTCACTCAGCGAGCTATGGAGAAGGCTATGCTCGGGGTTTCTCTGCATGATAAACTTAGAATTGAGGATATCCGCAGTAGAACCAGAATAACCGACATAGCCCAAAGGATTAGTAAGCTAAAGTGGCAATGGGCCGACCATATATATGTCTCGAAGAACCGACAACCGATGAGGAAGAAAGGTTCTCCAGTGGCAGCCTCATACCGGCAGGCGAAGTGTAGGGCGTCTCCGCTAGATGGAGTGACGACCTGGTAAGACATGCAAGAAATCAATGGATGCAGGTGGCTCGGGACCGTGCTTGTGGCATTCCTTGGGGGAGGCCTATGTTCAGCAGTGGACTTGTGAATGATGTGCTACTTTTGCAGGACAATGCACCAGTTCAGAAGAGTAATGTTGCGACGGCTTTCTTACACAATTGCGGCTTCGAAACTTTAAACCCCCGCCCCCTATAGTCCAGATTTGGCTTCTTTTCTTGCCTTTCTTGCTTTCTTCTTTTGCCTTCAGATTATTATTTATTCCCAAATATGGAAAAGAGCTTCGGAGAAAGAAAGAAAGTTGATAATTCCTGCCTATTTTGAGGGCCTTGACAAACATTTGTTTTTATAAGTTATTTAAACGGCGTGAGAAGTGTATTCGGGTTAAGGGAGAATGTATCGAAAATGTTTAATTTAACCCCATTTCCCTTTCATTCGATAAATTTTGACCTCCCTCGTATAATCTGTGAACTGTAGGGATGTAATGACATGGTACCAATATATCGGTATTGGGTAATGTTGATAACTTTGGATCACTTTTTTTTTTTATAGGATAAGGGTGACAAAGGAGCACACAGTCCACCTGATGGTAAGTGGTTGCTGCGGCCCATAGACATCTACATCTATCCTCTGTTACAAATCAAAATGTAGATGCGTTGTCACCCGTGAGGACTAAGATGGAATGCCTCATTTCCAGTAAAAAGGGCCTCCGGCCACCTGCACTCACCAAGCGAAACATACTATTAATTTTGAAACCCAGACTGCTTCTTATAAATGCATTGTATTGATCTGCAATTGTCAAGGTATCATGTTCGAATGCTTGTTGAGCTTTTTTAACAAACAATGATGAATCTTGATTGTGAGAAAGATTTTTTGTTTAGACTATCAGTAACTAATTAAAAAATAGCTTATAATTACATATATGATTTGGTTATGCCACGATATTTTAGAAGTAGGCATTGATCTCAGAACTTTACTTAAGTCGCTCATTACGAAACTCGGATGATGTGATTGTTTATATTATACCACCACAATAAAAATATTATATTTCTATCTTTGTTAACTTTTACATTATATATTTTGTCTACGTTTGCAGAGAAAGTTTGTTTTAATGAGCCTCCACGGCGTGTGTTAGTGCCAGTTGGTTCACTATATCTCTGTGACTATCTTTTCCCTGGTGAAGCCCCAGCAGAAGCGCTACTTTCCGTTAGAGAGTTACTGGATTTGCAGATTACTGAAACTGATGTGATTTGTGACATTGAAACACCAGCAGGTAATTTATAGATTAAATAAAATATGCTACCTATATTCAGGATTTATTTCTCTAAAAATGAGGCCAGCTCCACACATGACTTTAAGCTCATGCTGCCTTCGTTTTAGTCTAGTCAATAAGAACAAGTCTGGTATCATAAGTCACTACTAGTGCCTTTCTTGTGTAATGTAGACGCTTTATAGGGTTTTAGTTTAATGACCTTACTTTATACACTTGCGTGAATAGAAGTATACTCTTACTTTTGTGTTCTCATATCCGATTAAAGACCTTATTAGACAATTCAGATAAGGGTATGATCGGGTTGAGCCATGAAGAGTCCTGTGAATGTCCTGGAACCACGCGCGGATGATTAAAAGTTTAACTACTTTATTTTCCTTTTCTGACAAAAGTCGGGAACGCAACTTTACACGTTTTAAATTTTTACCCATTATTATACGTGTATGTGGGTTTAAATTTACAATGCATATTTAAGAGTACGAGAGATGGAAGTTCATCTAACACTGGAGTTCATAATTGAATAGTGAACAGTTCCCCGAATCCGTCATTTACCTAGGGATTAAATCAATCTTTTTTGTCTTTCATATATAATTACTGAAGAATCCCCTACCTGAATAAGTCCAGGAGGAATTGGCGCATAAGTACCGAAAACTATTCCACCTCAATTTTTTTATGCGAATCTTTTCAAATTGTCCTACTCATGATATAAATGCATGTTGCCATGGAGCAATTCGGTGCCATATTGTTCAAACTGTTTTTTTTTTTCAATTGCAAGCTTTATTCAAACGGGACAATTATTTTTTATATTTTTCGATAAAAGACGAATAAAAAAGGTTTTAGGGTAATATTTTTGGAGTTATGCATTTTTAAATGTGTGAAAAATGCCAAATTCAGATACTTTTTGTGTCAAATGGTAGTCAAAGTGACGACAGGTAATAAAATTAATAACAAATTAAACAAGTTTGGCAACAGGCTAATACCACATGAGTAAAGAAACTGTACAGAGGCAAAGCTTTTAAGGGTTGGCACTGGATAATAAAATTAAACGAACAAAACATTTATCAGCATTTTAATACATACTTAAGACATAATTTTTTTATACAAACTACGTTTCCTAAATATTTTACTTTTATAATTAATGTTCTTCAATAATTTGTTGTGGCTTTTAATTAAATGGTAAATTCTAAATTTAATGTAGTTTTTTTAAAATAATCTATTGGAAAGCAACCGCATTTCATAACAAATATAAAACTCTTGCACACGTTTTAATATTTCACTACAAATATTTGCAATGCTTTTTTCGAGGTCAAAATATTCCCGAAATTTATGTTCAAGCATTTCAACAAACGCGATAAAAGTGTCTTCTAAATAATTTCTTCCTTCCTTCCTGTATTATTGAAAAAACCTTAAATCTTAATTTAAATCCCTGTTATGGCTGAAAAAAGAATCTTCCCATATTTATAGGTTGTTCGGATCTATTAACTTATTAAACACTAATTTGTGATATTTGAAACAACATTTTCTATACAAATATCGCGACACATAGATTAAACCATTTTTTTCTGGTAAATCAAATAGATAATTATTTGTTCCTACTGTTAACACAGGGGCAGTAACATCGTCAGGTTGCGGTGATGTTGTATTAAAATACGACAATCGTTTCGTAAGTAACATATCGAAATCGTATTCACGATTAGTATTTTGAGGTTTTCCTAAGATGTTGGTATAAACATCCATCTGGTCGACATGTTGGTTCCTAGCAGTAACCACCCGCGCGTCTGACTTTTCCAAAGAAATTTTCGAGACAATCTTGATTGAGACGTCTCGTAAATATAAATTAATTTTATTTCTTCTAATTTTAATTGTTGATGAAGTTTTATTAAAGATTTTATAAACACCTGGAATCTGTGAATGAAATTCATGCTATTTGTAACGTCTTTCTGACCATCATTTCTTATTGATTTTAAGTTCCTGAAAAATGTTGGCATTTCTTCTAAAAACTCAATTTGATAACAATCGCATCGAAAATCTCTTATATTTATTAGGAGATCGAAGTGTACTTGAGTGTAAGAAATCAAACAAATTATTAATTTTATTTACAAAATCAGCGGTATCTCTTGCGGCAACCTCGATAAGGTTTAAATCTTCGTACGTATTAGTAAACCCTATTTACACTTTTTTATATTTCATTTGATATTAATTATTCTTTAAAAACAAAATTTCACACTTATTATTTTTTACACAACCCTGAAGTTTGAGCACTGGCTAAGCCGTTTTAAAGCAATTTCTCTCTGTACGAGACGAGCCGCCAGTGCTCACGCACACACGCGCCTCAAGCTTGTAGTAGTGTATCTATTACAGCACGGTTGTATAAAGCTTTGCCTCTGTACGGTACGGTTTCTTTGCTCATGTGCTAATACTGCGATTCGCGAAATACGTAATATATAATTAATAATATCCTATATGGATCTGAGACGTAGTCCATCACTGTTGACCAGTTGAAGAAAGTTCAAGTTTGCTTAGCGAGCTATTGAGGGGGCCTTGCTCGGAGTTTCTCTGCCTGAAAGATTTAGTAATGATAATATCCGCAGTAGGACCAGAATAACCGATATAACCCAAGCTTTCAGTAAGGGTCAGCCATATAGCTCGAAGAACCGATTACCGATGGGTAAGAGAGGTTTTCCAGCGGAAGCTTCTTGCCGATATGCGAAGTGTAGGGCGGCCTTCCACTAGATGGATTGACGACCTGGTAAGACATGCAGAAAGTTGATGGATGCAGGTGGCTCGGGACAGTGCTTTGTGGCGTTCCTTGGTTCAGCAGTGGACTTGTGAAGGGTTGTAATGATGTTTATTGAAATCGTTGTATTTCATTCTTTTCGCGCTACCAATATATTGTTATCCAAAACTAATATTTTATTTCAAATTTGTTTTAGATACGTCAGAGTTTGACGCTCTTGATCGAGACGCGAGCAGTGAAGAACTTTTAGCCACTCCACAAGAAGCAAGCCAGTTTATGTACATCACAGGCATTTGCTTTGCTTTGTTTGTCTTGGTGATCTCTATTTTAGTTCATTACTATGATGGTATTGTAGATTTTATAGGTAAAATATTGACAAAGTCGTGAATATGAAGACTGTATTTAATAAAGTTAAATATTATTTTATAATACAATTAAATTTCTGATTCAAATGAGATGTTTCGTTTCAATATGCATTTTCATTATGTAGCATATTTATATTTTGTACAGATATTGAATATGTAAAAGTTGGAATAAATTATTTTTAGAAAATATTTTTTCTTCTGCTTATATAGCTTTACAATAATTATAACATAAATTGTGCATATGACACTCTAGACACACCAAACATACACACCAAACACTTTAAAAAATGCATGGAAGAATAATATAGTGACTGTGACGTATTTATTTATTTAAACTTTATTAAACCTTACACATTAAGTAAAGGAACGTATGGGCGGCGTTCAAAAATGTGAAGATCTCTTGTTATTAAATAATAATTTAAAATTAAAAATTTTGTACAGCCGACTTCAATACAAATTATTAAGAATAATTCAAAAACTATTGGCCAGACCTTGATCAAATTTATATGGGAGCACACGAGATGCACTAGCTTACAAATAAAAAAAAAGAATCATCGAAATCGGTTCACCCAGAAAAAAGTTATGAGGTAACACACATAAAAAAGGATTAAAAAAATATCTTGATAAAATATGCCGGGGTATGTTCTTAGATATTGCACAAAAAATTCACGAAATCTTAGTAAAAACCAAGGAATCACTTCATCGGTAAGTAAGATACTTAAATAATAAAAAACATTATAGATTAATAATTAAAAAGTTATTTGTAAGGCGCCATCTTGTGTCATGGATTATGAAATTAATTTGTACATTTCTGTGAGCGATGTGTAGCGAAGTGTAGGACGATTAAGTATATTACGCACAATTTTTTTGTTGAAATAAATAGAAGTAATTATAATTAAGCTAAATTTCTTACGTTGATATTTGCTGATTATTCATTTTAGTTTTAGGTTTCCACGTCCAAACCACGAAAACCGAGAAAAGTGGAATTAATTCGTCAAAAATAATCGTAGAGAAGAGATGTGGTTACCAACAAATCATACATACATTTGTTCCTTGCATTTTAAGGAAGAGGATAAATAAATTACGAAGAAGGCAAAAATTAACAAAACTTATGTTGTTTAAAGGCACTTAAGTAATTAAATTCCTAATACATATTTTTACAATAACATTTATATATTTTATTAATTGAAATTAATTTTCAGCAAAAAAAAAAAAATAAGTGTATATAAATATAATTCAATGTGAAAACAGAAATGGTAGAAGTTTTTAAAGTTTTACTATGTTTTCTCACAGTAATTCATAAGGCATAATATAAAAAGTATCAGCTCTGTGTACATGGCTCACGCGAACTTAGGTTAGGGCTTTTGGGGACCCAGTTCTAGTTTTAGATTTAAATAAATATATTTCATTAGATTCGATTCCTTCCAATTTATATAGTTATCTTATAAAATATTTATATAAAAATGTAATTAAAATGCTATTGTGATAATATTATATATTATCATATTAATTTACCTCATATCATGCAAAATAGATGACAAATTATTAAAAATTGAACTCGTTTTAATAAATTAATTAACAATATATGTACTCTAAATAAACAATAATTAAATACCTACTGATCATTCTACCTACGCATAATCTATTATGATAAAAAAACCGCGCTTGCGCGGTAAGACTACGGCGCATGCGCAACCACATAGAGTAGCGCACAGTTTTTGCTTGAAATAGCTGTTCTAATACGTAAGTACTTCAATACTTCAATGCTTCTGGTATTACTCTCTATTTGTTCGTGAAGTTTTATTACAATCGATTTAGCCATTCCGAAGATTAAGTCGGTCAGACAGACATACAAAAATTTTAAAAATGGTTACTAATGTTTCTACGGCCTGTAAATATTTCATACAAAAATATTAACAGACAAAAACTACAATAATTTTGAAGAAAACTGAACAAATTAGCAAAATCGGACAGATTTTTTTGGTAGTTGATGGGAATTCGTTATCATTGATTCCAATGACAAGTTGGACTGAAGTTATAGAACGTACCGAAAAACTCATATCGCAACGTATTTTTTGCAGTCTTTCCCGGTAGGTGTGAGTATAGACAGCGACAGTGCGAACGAGAGGTGAGTAGAGTCGATGCCATTTTCAATACCATTCTTTAACCGCACGGGTAGTACGAGACGTAGAACATAAGGTTGCAAAATGGTTACAACTGTGAGGGACGAAAGATTTATTGTATTGTGGTAAGACATCGTACATGAGTTTAGAACTAAGCTCCAAGAAGTTCGATAAGTGGCATTTAACATAAGGAATAACGGCATACTTGCCTACTAGAGGACTTTTATCTATTTACCACAGGTCATCGAGTAATCGGTCCAATTTTGCTTGCTCACACCGAAACTATATAGTATGATGACTGCTTAGAGAAGTACTTTTTTCTGAGCTCAGTGTAACAATGTTGGAAGAGAGCCTAATAGAGGAGATTCAATAATTGTTTGGGGAGGCATATGCAAAAGGCACTTACCGAACTTCACATCGCGATAAAAGAGTGTGATTGCAGAACGATCGAACAGATTGTAACACTTTTGCCCCATACATCACAGACCACACTGCAGCGTTTGTTTCGGAATATCTCAGTTGATGAAATCGCAGTTTTGAAAGATCTAAGGTAAAACTATGTATACATTTTTTGCCCCCTCACACCGTACTCGCTTCACTCAAAGAAACTGATGGAAACATTTTGATGGGCAAGTTGGATGGAATATCAATAGAGACGGGGTGTACTGATCAGGTTTTTCACTATTTTGTATAAATATAAATAATATTTTGTACGTGGTAGAGCCACGCTGCAGTTGTATTACGGTTGTAGCACAAATGGGTCGGCTCGACCGTGGTAGGACTACGTTATCAAAGAATAGCAGCGTATGTTGCTGTGTTTCGTATGGTGAATCTAGAGAATAGAACCGGAGGCCCATTTTGTTGGAAATGAGGCATTCCATTTTGAGATGGACGCATAACAACGCATCTGCATTTTGGGTTTTAATTGAAAATAGATGTAGGCGTATATGGACCACAGCAACCACTTACCATCTGGTGTACTGTTTGCTCGTTTGCCACCCTTAAACTATAAAATTTAAATTGCCCCTAAGTATCTATCGGATTAAAAACAATTGAGTTGCAGTATTAACACGGTAATTTTAGAATAGTTCTTTTGTCAGTTGTCTGATTGATTTTATAACGCCCTCTATTTTTATTTTTCGAACTAATGGAACGAACCCATAGATGACGCTAGTGTACAGTTATCATAGTTATTTAAGAAGTATACTCAAATTATTACCTATTCACTTATTCTACGAAACGTCAGCATATTAATTAACAGTATGAGCGAAAGAGATAACCAACAATGCCTAACAATGAGCAGGCATTTTATATAACGTAGTTGTGTTATTTTTTATGATTGTAGGAAATGATATACATGTACATTTATTACAATGTGTAATGTGTATTATCTTTTATGCGCTATGCGGTCTCCAATAGTGTGTTAGTGTGGGACTGTGTCACTGTGAGATATAACTTCATTAAAACTAGTTTTCGTTCTCGTTTTTACATCTTCACGGGAAATTATTAGTGTATTGTTTGTCGTAATCCGTAGTAATTTTATAAACGAACATGTGAATTGTGAATTATAGAACTTTGCATACAATGAAAACAGGCTGTGCAAGTAATTTATTTATTTATTTAAACCGGTTTCTGAATGAACAGTTGAATGCGTGATAGCATAGTAATAAGTGAGGACGATATTTGTTTACAATGGCATTTTCTTTAAGTAAACTAAAAAATATTTTAAATACTAATCGGGATGGCCAATTGGCGGGAAGTGGTAGCTTAGAACCAGAAATTGGGTTCAAATTAGCGTTACATCCAGTCAGTAAAAATTTGTATGTGACAGTTGTCGGCGCCCGGCACCTTCCTTCCTTGTTTGGGTTGAGTCGAGCTCACGGATATATTGTTAAAGTAAGTAAAATTTATTGTAATTTCAGTTATTTTGATTATCATTAAGATTTAAGCCAAACATTTAATATAAATCTGTAAGCTTCATTTAAAATTTGTGATCTTGACTTCAAAATTGTTGCTTATCTTTACCCAAACTAATAGATAAGCAATGCGTAGAAATAATATAATACGTAATATAGAAAGTTAGCATGCAGTAAATATAAATTTAATTTTTGCCTCATTCAGGTATTTTTGTGTTACTGAGAATTAATAAACTAATTATTGTTCATAAATTTAATTCTTAATAACATTTTGCTGTATATGCAATATTTGTAAATTTAAAACAAAATTCTGCATGCATGTTGTGGATTCGACATCCGAGGTTTTTTTATATTATTTCCTCTTCTCCAAAAAAAAAAATTGAAGACCCGGCACTGAATCATAATAGGTGTCAAAAAGTAATTTTAAATAAAACGTAATGTCTCAAGAACTAGGCATCTGATTCTCAAAAAATTTATTGTTTTGAGCCTTTCGTCTATTTCTGAAATTATGATTGATTTCTGAAATATTATGCGGATAGTGAAAATAAATTGAATAATCTTACTTACTTACTTATTTTCACGCACAATCCCTGACGGGGTAGCCAGAGAGAATAGATCGCCAAGTGTCACGATCCTTATATACCTCTTTCGCTTCTTTCAGATTCATTATCTTCTTCATACATGCACGTCTAGGTATCCGAGTACTCTTGACCCTCCCCTCTTCGAGCAATTTGCTCACATGGTCTTCGAAAGTTAGTCTCGGTCTACCTCGACACCTTTTAATATTTACTTTCGCGCTATATATTTTCTTCACCATTCGGTCTTCACTCATTCGCTCAACGTGTCCAAACCATCGAAGCATGCCCTTATTAATTTTTGTGATAAGGTCATCTTTCAAACCTGCCATATTGCGAATCTCTTCGTTTCGCTTTCGGTCGGCCATGGTAACGCCGCACATTTTACGAAGAGATCGCATCTCTACT